ACATAGGTTGAAAAAGCCAAGTTCTGAAAAGCAGCATAGCCATTTAATGCTATTTAATCTGTAGTCATATAATCATTGCAGGCTGATACTTGGTGTCTTAAACTATGTTGAATAAATATACAGAGGGGAAAAGATATTAGATGTTTTATTAAAGTTACTGTTTATTCCTGTATAACTAGACAAAGACCAATGCAGGTTTTCCCCACAGAGAAGAGGTGATTATTCTCTTCTATTCTACTTCCTTGCAGACTGCACTGAGCACTTGAGATAACAGACTATTTGGACTTTATGCCTGGAGATTCTGAATCAGCAGGTCTCGGGTGGGGCCTGGCAATCTGTTTCTTGAACAGCTCCCCAGGTGCCTGTCTATGCAGCCAGCACTACCCATAGGTACAGCTTGATGCTAGAAAGGCAGGAGGCCACACATGGTCCAGCCTAGTTCACTAGGGCAAAAGTCAAGATAAAGTTTTGGGCCCAAGCCGAAGCTTGAATATCTCCTTTACCGGATAGGGCTATTCTGTTGGCTAATCACATAGCAAGGAAAGGGAAAACGAAAGGGAAAGAAAAAAAAAGGAAGGGTGAAGAAAAAAGACAAAATCCTATGGGTGTTTGCATATACAATATTAACAGCATGATCCAGAGTGGTCGGAATTCAGCCCACGTAACTGAGGAGAAAACTCTCATCTGAAGCTCGGAGAGTTTTTCACAAGCACAATAAATATATGTACATATTAAGAAATATCTAACAGGAGAAGGGCATAATCACATGATTCTGTTCCATTCTGTGGGATGAACCACCACCCCTCACAAGGCTTATTGCCAAATAACTCTCTTATTTCACAGTGGAAATACATTGAATCTATTAGTTCAAAAGAGTCTTCCCCAAAGCATTTTCCTTATACTTACTTTGAAAAGAAAGCTCTCAGCATGATAATGGATGGTATGTATGTCCACTTCACTTCCTATTCCTAACAAATACCAGTTTGTCATTGTACCTTCATTCATGATGAGGCCATGAAGATTCCCAAAAATCCTTCCATTAATAGCTAAGAAGGTGAAAAGAAAATAGCTTTTGATTAGTGAGAAGACACTCATTACTTAATCTCGTTTTAGAAATGGTCCAAGAAGATCTTTAGGTCACCAATATTTTCATCGGCCGGATAAACATGTAAAAATCTCACTCACACTTACTAATGTCCCTACCATTCTAGACCCCAAATTCAGATTACTAAGAAATCCTTGTTTATTCGGCACATTTTCTTTATGAAGTGGATTACAGGCTCATTGGTAAAGTAGCCAGATTTATACCATTCTACAGATGAGTGGACTAAAGCACAAAGAATCAAGTTTATATAAATAAAAATGGAACGAATTAGAAGCTATTTCCTTAAGATTTCATTTTCTGAGAACTAGTTTGGGGCAAGTTCCTAAGCCTGGCTGAATCTCCAGAAGAAGGAAAGCTTCATGTGGGCTGAGCCCATGACTTCACAATGACCAAAGCAAGCTCAAGATGGGTTGACTTGATGGGGACTTTCACTCCTCTGCTTTCTACTAACTTTATATTCTGTGTATCGTGACACAACCAAATGAGTTACATTCCTTAAAAATGGAGAGCATACTAAGAAACTTTTGGGAGAAGGAAACAAGATTGATAAGGGTAAGAGTAGCTGAATCACAGATTAGGATACTATATTCTAATCAATGTTAGCAATTAACTAGCTTTGTGACCTTGGGCAAGGCCTATCTATCTTTTTGTATACTTTTGGTCAAAAGTAGATCTTGGTGAGAGAGTGTGGATGTGTCAGTTAGAACACACTACTCCCACTTGAAAAAAAAAACTACCTTAAATTGCATAGAATTAAATAACATAGACACATTAAAATAGAAATTTGGTGATGGTGTTTCATGTCCCAGAGACAGTTAAACCAGGCCCTTAAATTTGATCAAATAGAAGTTGTGGTGTATTCTTATAGAAATATACCAATAAGTGATGATTCATTTTTTAAGAATTATTTCACGGTCTTATAGTTTAGGGATCTCAGCATTCAGAGATAGAGGTTTCTAATCAGTTGATCTAAAGCCTCAATAACGTTGCTGGCAGCCAACCAATGGCTTGGCTGGTTCCCTCTGAGGGAAAGCTTCAAGGGATTTCCTCAGTCCAGGTGCCTCTGGAATGGGAAAAGGCTCAGAGAAGGAGGCTGGGGACCTCCTATAGTTAGAGGAGTGTCTATGAGCTTATCTTAACAAGAGTCTTCTTTCTAAAGCTCTGATATACCATGCATTTTGTTGCTCTCCTCAAAATCGTCAGTGCGCTTAAAATCTCGTGGATCTTTATTGAGATACTTCTTAATATTGTCATCCAGATACCAGGATTCATTCTCATTAAATATCAAAAACAAAAGAACAAATTCATAGTCAACGTCGCTTCTTCTTCCCTTTTCATTCAACACTCCTTCTCTGCACGTAATAAGAGGCCCCATCAAACCACTATATGTATCCTGAAAAAAAAAAACTGAATTAGAAGAGCCTTTAAATAATTAAATAATACAGATTAGGTGCTTGTAAGAAAGTCATTATAAAATGACTATTGACCACAACATAAGTAGTAAGAAGCCCTAAAGAATCAGGGTGATCTTTATGGGAATTTTGGAGTATGCCTAAAAATTTGCTACAGAGTGAGCTCCTTAAGGCTGAGACTGTGTCACTCATTCATCACTGAGTCTCCAGAGTATAGCCCAGTATCTACTGCATAGAAGGTGCTCAATAAATATTTGTTGAATAAATGAATGCTTATTTCTATTTTTCTATTTGTTTTTCAAGTGAGACTACATTTATAACTATACAGATGCTTATATTCTACTTTCTATGGGTAAAAGTGAACAGGGTGATTAATAAATGATATGGGACCATGGAAGACCTCCATGTCAAGTTGTTCAGCCCTGAACTTTCTTTGAGGGAACACTCCCACATTTCCAACTGCTTACTTAGATATTCCTCCTGGATGTGCTTCCTGCAACAATTCAATCTACTAAGCATTTCTAAAATGGATTTTATTATTTCCCTCAAACCATTTCCTTCTCCTGAAATTTCTATTTCTGTTAATAGGAATCTAATTTTCACTGTCATTTAGGTCAGAAAACTTTATTTCAGTGTTTAATTCCTCCTTCTTCCTCACTTTGTCCCATCTCATTTGCTGTCAAATGGTACATTTTTTTTTCCCTTCACAATGCCTCTCCATTCTGTGACTTCTTTTCCATTCCATCTGCCACACTTCTAGTGTAAGATCTTAACACCTCACCCTGGACTAGAAATTGGCTCCTTTCTCATCTCTGGCTCACCTTACCTCCAGCCCATCCTGTTGACCACCATCAGATTAATCTGCTCACTGCCATATCTAGAAGTCTTCAGTGATCTTCCAGTGAGAGTCCTACTGAATAAAATACAAATCTTCTACAGGTCCTTAAGCCCCTCAGGGACTCCCCCAATGGACTTTTCTAGCTTAAGCTCCCCCACTGCTTTCCTTTTGTACCCTGGAGGATACAACCCAATGGGATTCTCAACATTTCCTAAACACACTTTCTACTTTCCTATTTTCAGCTTTGCTCATCATGTCCTCTCTTTCAAGACTCTCTTTCAAATGCCTCCTATATAGCCCTGCACTCTTATAGAACTCACCAAATTCAAAGTTATATTATACTTATTGGTGTGCACATGTATTATTTTCCCCAAAGATTATAAGTTCCTCCAAGACAAGAATATTTGCGTCCCTCATAGTACTTGGTGGGGTCATATGTACATCACAAGTGCTCGATAAATATTTGTTGAGATGCACAAAGGAATAATCAAATAAATGTAGGTTTCCCATAATTCCAATATGTAAGTTAACTTTTTCAAGTGTCTTGTATGTCTCTCCTGAACTCTTGCACTGTCCAATACAACTCAAGGACATTAATGCAGCCATCTAATATTTAAGAGGAAGGTTAAGATAATCCTTCACTTTTTTTAAAATAATGGGCAATGCTTACATTTTGTGTCAGATATGATTTTAGTTTGGACTTTGATTTATGACAAAATTAAAGATTAGATGTTTTACATACACGTATCTGACCAAATTCAACATTGAATCTTTGCCTTTAATTTCCAAGTAAAGTTAACCTCTTTATCATTCAAATAGTTAGTAATTTCAGTTACTGTGTTTGAAGTATACTTTCTTTCCTGAGTCCTGGTAGCTGTGGTATTGCCTTTAAAAATGATAGATTTCTGGGGCCGGCCTGGTGGCATAGTGGTTAAGTTTGTGTGCTCTGCTTCAGTGGCCCAGGGTTCAGATCCTGGGTGCAGACCTATGAACCTCTCATCAAGCCATGCTGTGGTGGCATCCCACATACAAAATAGAGGAAGATTCGCACAGATGTTAGCTCAGGGCCAATCTTCCTTACCAAATAAATAAATAAATACAGTGATAGATTTCATGCATCAAAAAACCCTGATATAAATTATATTAAAATATATTTTTATTTTATAGTTGTGTATTTACATATCCTCTTTTGCTCCAAACTACCTTGCAGGCTCTCAATTTGGTAATTGAAACATTGGGATTTTGGTTTTTCCCCCATACTTTAGATCAAGGGTCAGCAAACTTTTTTTTGTAAAGTGCCAGATAGTAAATATTTTTTACTTTGCCCACCATATTGTTTCTGTCACAACTACTCAACTCCACCATAAACAAATGGGCATGCCATAGTCTGAGACCCCTGCTCTAAACGATTACACCCCTTCGCATATACCCACCAGAGTTGTGGGAACTTGAAAGCCATATTACTTTAAGCCTTTTGGTTGTTCTGGTCACCTTACCTTCACAAAGTTTACTGTTGAATAGTAAACCCACGGAATACAATTTGGGTCGGATGGCCCTGGACCGGACCTTTTAGGGACATTCCATCTGTAAGTTTTTATTTCTCCTGAAACAAATGAGAAGAAATAGAAAGAATTTACCAGTGTTACCTCTGTTCCAGATGATTTACCTGAAGAAATACAAACAGATCTTTATATATTTTGGTTAATGTTTATTGCTGGGGAGAATTACCCATTCATTAGAAATGTTCCCATTAAACTCACATTTTGATTTTCTGCAGTTTCAAAATGGCAGATTTTCCATGTCAGACGACAGCCTTCCCTCCAGTTTGCCCTTTCTATTATCATCTGATGTCTTTTCAGGAAATGAAGACATTTTATACCTCACTGTTTTTTCTCCTCAGATTTCATGTCTCCCTCCCAAGAGCTGTGCTTGTGCATACTCTAGTTACCATGGGTCTCAGCCTTGGCTTCTTATGAACCATCAGAGGCTTTTGTAAACTCTCACCGCTCAGGTCTTATCCCAAACCAACGAAATTAGAGAATCTGAGGTCTGGGACTAGGGCATCAGTATTTTTTTTAAAGCTTCTCAGGTGAGATCTAGTTAGAACCAGAGATGATCAGAAAGACCTAGCACTTCCTATTTATCCAACTTTGACAAGTTACATAACCTCACTGACTTTTAGTTTCCTTACTTATGAAGTGGGTTAGTCATCCCAGTTTTCAGACTTTTGTGAAGATTAAACGAAATAAAATACCTAGGCTAGTGCCTCACGTGGAAGGCAATCAATAAATGTTAATCTGTATGTATAATTATAGCAAATGTATGCACTCCCTGTGTGCAGGCACCATATCTAAGCATCCCTTGTGGCTGACCCAGACCCTTGCAGAGGAGTCATAAATAAACTCACATAAATTAGTAAGACAGTCACATCATAAAAGTCTCAAAAGCCAGATTTAAATCATTATCTCCTTTTGAACTATCTGTGTCCCTTCCCCACCTCACCAGGACAAACAACCTATGCTGAATGTGAATGACAAAGCAAAACAAAAGTAATGTTTCCATATAACTTTGCTCCATATTTGCTCATACTCCAGTGGGTTAGTGATACAACTTGAGGTCTAGTTTCCATAATGTTTCGTTATAGCCTCTATGCCTTGTTAATTGCAAGATAGACAGCTGATATTTAGCTTCCTAAGTGCAAGTGGCTACAGGGGTGGTGTTATTAAAGTGGGAACAAGCCACTGTTCACCTCAATGGGGAGCACAGCTCTAAACAAAAAGAAGATGCTCAGTAAATGTCTGCTGAGTGATTTAATAAAAAAAATAAAGGAGAAATTTGATATGGGATGCTTGCTTTTCTTATGACTCTAGTTCACTGTTGTCTCATGCATGCCCAGATTAATCTTTCATTTCCAACTTGCCTGGACATCCTGCACAAAGTTAGTTTCTTGCTCCTACCCCCAATCTCTGAGCTCTCCCAAACCTTTCAGCCTTGTCATAGACGCTTGTGGGGATTCTCTCCCTTTGAGTTCCAGTATGAAAAATTCTCCTTTGCCATTTTCTAATCATTGTTCTCCCTACTTCCATGGCGCTCATGTCAAGGACTCTTTGAAGGCCAGTCAGCATAGAGGAGCTGTGTCCCTTGCCAGTCCTTAGCATCAGCATGACAGTCTGTGAGCAGTCACCCCGGCTTGCCCACAGCCCTACCAAAGCCCCCACCAAGGCCTGATTGGCACCTTTCTTCCTCCTTCCAGAGTCACTTTCAACCATCAAAAATAAATAACTTTATTTAATGCCCTTTCTGACCCATTTTAAACTCTTTCCCTCTTCTTCAAAGCAACACAGATCCATTATAGAAAATCTAAAAAGTACAAAAATGTGAAGTAGTAGAAAAGAGTATCACCTAACTACTGCTCAAAATACCACCACGAAGATAGAACCATTATTAACATTTTGGCTTATTTCCCTTCTGGTCTTTCTTCTGTATTTTGCTTAACACGATACCACAAGTCTTTCTCATGACATTAAAACCTTCTTAAATATCATTTAATGGCTGCATAACAGTCCATTGTAAGGATATTCTAAAATTTACTTAACTATTTCCCTATAGATAGACATTTAGGAGTTCCTGAGAGGTTTCTTGAAGCAGCAAAACACAGGCTTCTGGGCTGGCCCCGTGGCTTAGCGGTTAAGTGTGCGTGCTCCGCTACTGGCGGCCCGGGGTTCGGATCCTGGGCGCGCACCAAAGCACCGCTTCTCCGACCATGCTGGGGCTGCGTCCCACATGCAGCAACTGGAGGGATGTGCAACTATAACATACAACTATCTACTGGGGCTTTGGGGGGAAAAAAAAAGGAGGAGGATTGGCAATAGATGTCAGCTCAGAGCCGGTCTTCCTCAACAAAAAGAGGAGGATTAGCACGGATGTTAGCGCAGGGCTGACCTTCCTCAGGAAAAACAAACAAACAAAAAAACACACAGGCTTCTGATACTGGGGATGGGGTGAGGTGGGGAGAGGCAGGAGAAGTTGGAATAGCGGCCAATGAAGATTTTCCTTCTCCCAACCCCATCCCCCATCCTTGTATAGGTACCTTGCTGACTTTTTCTAGTGATGCATTAGATTGTTTTCTTTTCTTTCTTTTATGCATCTTTAATTTTTTTTAAGTTTATATGACCTTTATTATAATATCTATAGTACTAAACATTATAATGTTATTATACATAAGAGGTAAAATGGAATATAACTCCTCTGTAATTATACCTATGGTTGCTATCAAGTTCATGATTGAAGGTCACAGTGGCTCTTAACATTTATTACAACTGCATTTCAACTGTTTATGTGAAGCCCCTTAAATTGTGAGATCTTCTCTCCTCTCAATGCATCTTTTAAAACCCAACTGGAGTTCTACCTCCTTTATAAAGTTTTCCCTAATTACCCCTTTCCCTAATTGCCCCTAAATAATCCATCAGTCTTCATAGATTTTTCTTCTCTAAAATTTTTATAAACACTCCCCGATATATTCCTGAAATTTCTCACCACTTAGAATTTCATCGTGTATAATCTGCAATGTAACCGAAATGATTCATCTTGGTTTTTTTTTCTTCCAAACTCATTTTAAGTATTTTAAGAGAAACGTGTGGTTAAGAGCTCAGGTTCTGAAGTCAAACAAACTGGGGTTCCACCATTACTAATGTATGACCTGGTCAAGTTCTTTACCCCTCTGTGCTTCAGTCACCTGTTAAACGGACGTAATAATACCATATTTCATCAATTATAGGATGCACATTTTTCACATTTTAACATAACTGAGTTCAGGATGCACCTTTCAATCAGTGGCATGTTAAGGTTTAATTGGCAGCATGTTTTTTTCTTTTATTAGTAACAGATAAAATAATGATGGATATTATAATCAATGGTATCAGATTCAATGAAATATATTTATGTCTACCTAGCTTGGTTATTGTAAGGATAAACGAGTTTTATGGTTTTTTAAAAAAATATAAAGCATAGCCGCTGGTACAAGATTAACATTCAATGTGTGTTAGCAATTATGATGTCTTACTACCCTTTTACATCCCTCATGGTGCCCTAGAAACTCCATAAATACTTGGTCATTGGACGAATGAGGATCTCGTGTTGGGAGTGACTAGGTGATGGCTGGAACACATTGACATTAGGATGCGCTCTCCAAGACCCTTCAGAGATCAGAAAAGATCAGAAAAGAGTTGAGTCTGGTGTCCTCATCAGGACAGTACATGTCTCTGGTGTCACTTACCTGGCTTTGTGATGGGCACGTGGAATTGCTTCCCACTATCCATGATCTCCACACCCTGGCCAAAGATGGAGAAGGGTTGCCTGGCTTTGTTCTTAAATATGATCAGGATGCTGTCGCCCACCTCAGCATGAATCATTGGGCCTAAAGGCAAAACACAGGCCTGTGTGCATTATCGTTGCTCTTTTCAACACTGATGTAATTTACGTGTAGGTAACGTTTGGCAAAATAAAACAAAGATTAGCATCTTCATTAAGGTACTTCCTTTAGAGGGCGATATTGTGTAGTATTAAATATCACCTAGTGTTTGGCAATCAGACCAATCTGGGTTCAAATCTTGCCTCCTTCACTAATTAGAGAAGCCTGAGTAAGTCAAGGCCTGCCTGAGTCTTGATTTCCTCATCTGTAAAATGAATTTAATAACACCTTTCTCATAGGGTTACAGTAAGGATTAAATAAGATAATCTATGTGCTTATTTCAGTGCATTGAGATAAGTGCTTACATTTTTACTACTGCTCTGACATGATCTCCAGGAAAAGCCATATCCACATGACGTGGTGACTTTCCATTGTAATCCCCCTATGTGTAACCTTTGGTAAGTCTGAAATTGCTCACTATCTGGTAAATGGATATAATAATAATAATGAGGATCCAATGAAATAATGTGTATAAAAGGGATTTGAGAGATAAGAACAAAATTAAAACGTTTACATATTGATTTATGATCAATAGAGTAATTTCACTAATGCGTGTCCAACGCTATTCCTCAATATCTGGATACCTTGATGAGACGTGCACACTTCAGCTCCTCCTAGAAGCAACCAGCCTGTGTGCCAGTGGAAATTAGTCCACACCCCGCTGCAGAGGGCTGTGCTGGCAAGACTGTGGGATGCCACTCGCCCATGCCAGATGCCTTTCACCTCTCAGTGCCCAGAACATGGCACAAACGCAGTTTGCCCTGCTCATGCCCCACATTGACAGAGCATCAAACACAAGGGGTCTTCAAGAGGCACCACTTTGAGGAGGATGGTGTTTCCATTCTCTGTTTGACTCCATTTTGGAAGCACCTTAGACCTGATCCCTATTTATTTGCATTCTTGGGCATTTATTGCATTCTCCATTCACAGAAAGATATAGTCATAGTAGGGGGTCTGACCACACCCATCCATTCTTCACTGATTCAAACCATGGTTTTCATTTCTTTTCTGAGAAAGACTGCTAAAGGCCTAAAAAAAATCTAAAATTTGTTGGACTATTGTTATCTTTGGAAGAAAATATTTAGTATGAATCAGGAAGTGTTTGAAAAATGCTCATTTTTTTTTAAAACAATAAAGCTAGAAATGAAATTTCTAGGCATGTTTTTAAACAGTAAATTTGGATATAGTTGCATATATTAAAATCATTATTTATATATTAACTACCACTTAAATTGCACATGCCTTGCTGTACTGGTGAGTAAGAGCAAATGCCTTCTGATTTATGGCCTGGAGGTCACAGGGAGCAGTCATGAATGGAGACGTACCTGCCCTTTGCAACTTTGGGAGCACAGGCCTCTCCTGAGCTACAGAAAATGAAAGGATGGGCCTCCTGCTCCCCTGGCTGAAGTGCTGCTAGGCTTGCCTCTGATGAAGTCACTCGTTTGTGTCATTTTACTGAATAGCCCAAACTGGGGCTCTTTGGGGGGCAATTCAGCCCCCTTGGCAGGACCAGCACCTTTTCCTTTTTTTTTTTTTTTTGGTGAGGAAGATTGGCTCTGAGCTAACGCCTGTTGCCAATCTTCCTATTTTTGCTTGAGGAAGAGTGGCCCTGAGACAACATCAGTGCTCATCTTCCTCTATTTTGCATGTGGGACGCCGCCACAGCATGGCTTGATGAGTGGTGTAGGTCCATGCCCGAGATCTGAACCTGCAAACCCTGGGCTGCCAAAGCATAGCGTGTGAACCCTAACCACTGTGCCAGTGGGCTGGTTGCTAACACCTTTTCTTCAGAACTCAGTTGACACACATAGCTCAAAAGAAGGAGTTTTCCCACTAGGGATGACTCATTTGGTGTGACAAACAAGCTTGCGTGCCAGTGTCAATAGATGGTGATGGTATAGGGGAAGGCGGGTGGGGCATTTAATAATTTATCAAGCTAGCAGTCGTGGTGCCTTATTTTAATATTAAGAAGCACTGTGTAAAGCCACAATATTTATATGTTACCTTCTGATTTAAAAATAGGAATGGATTTCAAAAAGTCATCTAGAATAGCCCTCTGCCTTAAGATCTCATCTTCACAATGGGGTCAGCTGTGGTGACTCCCAGGTGAAGAAAAGTAGGGCAGGGTAGCAGGAAGAGCTTATGTGATCACCAGAGCAGGCAGCGCAGGGCATCAGGCAGGTGGAGTCGGTTCTGAGAAGGCCGTGAGTTAGCACCTCCCAAGCTGAGAGCCGGCCTTTCTCCCTTAGCACCCGTCTCACATAAGGGATTCCTCTTTAGTCAGAATTATTTTTATGGGGTATTGTTATGGCCGTGTGCATGGATAATCGGAGACCTTGAAGAAGTTATGCAAACACTCTGCCTGCTGTTGTGAGGCATCAAATTGTTTCAAATTAAAATGTCCTGGCTCAGCAGAGGGGTGGGAAAGGAACTTCAGGGTTAGTCTACTCTGACAACGTGGATTCCTGTTTGCGCGTAACCTGGTGGTCTTATTATGACTATTCTCTAGATGAGCTGAGCACACAGCATGCTCCCTGACAAGGCGAGAGCAGGAAGATGTCACACTTGGATGAATGCAGTCAAGCATTCCTGCCTCCCTTCTCAAGCATAAGTCTAACAGGATGCGTGTGTGTGTATGTGAGCGTGCGTGAGTGCGCACATGTGTGTGCACGCTCGGGGCTGGCAGTGCACGGCTGAGATCTGTGCCATACCCAGCAGTCCTAAGTGCTCCTCTTGTGGTGGTCGGGCTTTGATCTCCACAAATTCTCCGTTGGTGTATTCCCTGTACACCACCTTCTTGTACTGAGAGCCAATCCAGTTTTCAGTGTGGTTCATATATATATCTCCATGTCTGCAAATCAGAAGCATCAGAAGTTAAAGTTGTCAGAGGGTAGAAAAACCTTGAGTGCTTCTAAGTAACTTGGGGGTCCTTTGGAGCACTGCTTCCCAAACTTGGCTGCAGTCAGGATCTCCCTGGGAGCTGGCCTTCTGCACCAGGCTCTCTGGGACTGGGGCCAGGAATCTGCATTCGAAAGTGCCTCCGGGGGTTCTGAGGTGGGCAGCCCAGCACGGCCCATGGTCTACTCTTGGGAGCCATTGCTCTAAAGCCCTGCTGGGTGCTGAATGGGGCCAGCCCTTGTCAGAGACTCTCAAGGTCCTCTTGAAGTTGCGCTTCTCTTCTTGGGACTAACAAACCTCATACACATGCCCACGCATGCACACGTGTGCACACCCACACTCTACCACCCTGCATTCCCCCAGATTTCATATGTGTCATTCTATACCTTGTTATGATTTTCCATTCTGAAAGATCTCAAGAAAGTCTGTGGGTTGTGTTATGCATATACCCATATACTAATGTGGATACAGTTAATTCTTGTTATTCGCAATAGTTATGTTCTAGAAAGTCACCACAAACACTGAATTAACAAATACTTAACCATTGTTCCTGAGGGAAATACAGGTTTCTAACCTCCGGCCACAATATTTTCATTAACAGATCAACATACAACCTTGTTTTATATGTGTTTCTATTTAAAGACGTCTTATTTAATATGTATTGCTGATTCATCAACAGTGAATTCATGGCCAACAGCATTATAACTCATGTCTGATGAAGGTTATCTAACACAGTTATTTCCTCCATAAGGTACATCACAGCCTTCTTGCACTTAGGACAATAGAGAGTGCTTCAGCACTGTGCTGGAGGGCCATTTTAAACAGCAAAATCACACAGAAAAGCACAAAAATGCAAAAACAACAACCAAAACTTGTGGCCCTAAATAAACCACAAAAAGGACCCTTATTGACAGTATGAGAGCTGAAACAGGAGGGCAGAATGAGGCCTTGATTGACCTCAGTTGGGAACATGCACATTGGGTAACAAAAATTTTCGCTGCTTTATGCATCTCTGTGAATAATCACAAAAGCACCATAAGAATTGATTTTGGGGTACCAAACAGATTTCAGCCAGTAGGCAAATTCACAAATATGGAATCTGTGAATAATGAGGATCAACTATGTATTTAATCTATCACCAAGATAGATCATCACAAAAGACAGAAAAAAAAATATCTATCAATTTTATCTCCAAAATACAGTGGGTCTCACATCCTTCCATTTCCCACTGTTAAATGACCACATTCTAATCTAAGCCATGTACATCACTTACCTGCATTAACTGGAATTGTCCCTAGTAATTTTCCCTGCCGTTCCCTCTTTTCTCTACACTGCAGGCAGAGTGACTCTAAACTATAACCTCGACCAAGTTCATCCTTGTGGAAAACCTTTTTTTTTTTTTTTGTGAGGAAGATCAGCCCTGTGTTAACATCTGCCAATCCTCCTCTTTTTTTTTGCTGAGGAAGACTGGCCCTATGCTAACATCTGTGCCCAACTTTCTCCACTTGAAATGGGGTACCGCCACAGCACGGCTTGACAAGCGGTGCATCGGCGCATGCGTGGGATCTGAACCGGTGAAGCCCGGGCCACCGCGTGCACTTAACCGCTTGTGCCACCAGGCCAGCCCCCGGAAAACCTTTTTATGTTTTCCCACTGCCAAACTCCTCAATTTGGCTCTCATGGCCCTTCACTGTCTGCCTCTGCCAACCTCCCAAGTGTTGTTTCCCATCACCTGCCCCACACGCTCCATGCTTGGGTCATTCTAAGCACTCACTCTCTTGAACACCATGTGCCCTCCCCATCTCCAGGCCATCCATGTGCCAAAAGCATGCTTCCTACCTCTTCAACTGGCCTACTCTTCGCATCCCAGCTCAAAGACTACTTCCTCCTGGAAGCTTTCCCTGACCACCTACCCTCTCCCCACCATGCCCCCCAGATGGGGCTGTGTGCTCCTGCTGTGAGCTCCTGCTGCACCTGCACTTTCCCTCTCACAGTGATTGCCTCATTCAGTATGATTACTCTAGCGTCTTCGCCATGGGGCATGAATTCCGTGTGGGAAAGGACCTTGACTGCCCTTCTTAGCACTGCTTCACCAGCACTTTGCATGATGCCTAGCACACAGTAGGTATTTAACAAATCTATATACACCTTCTACCCTATACTGTATACTTTCCAAGGGAAGAGAATTTTTCCTCTACTTTTATTTCCCAGGCGTCCTAGTAACATGTGCGGTCGTGACAAGCATAGACTCTAGAGCCATATTCTGCTGTTTTCCAGCTTTCCTCTTCTGCAAAATGAGGTGATAATAATGTGCTACCTCCTAGGGTTGGTGTGAGGATTGAGTTAAGATCTGTAAAGCACTGTGTGAGACACATATTAAGTACTATGTAATCACTTGCTCTATCATCATCTCACTAGGAAGTCGTGTGAGATGCTGAGCCAAAGCTGATGGAATGGGTCAAGTGTGTTGTGAGGGTCATATCAGATAGGGTTTGTAAAAGCGCTAGCAAAATCCCTGCTCAATAGTTGGCAGTTATTATTTCAAATCCTAGGTTAGTTTAAATACATGCATATCAGTCCCCATGCTCAGGAGTACTAGGATACAACTTTATCTCTCTAGAGCAACTTAATCTCTGTTTTCAAATTCCTTCCTACTGCACAAACCCTGGCATTATGCCGATGGTCCCATTTGTTGCCTTTCTGGCATCCTGAAGCCTTGCCAGTGTGTTCTTAGGAAGCCCCAGGGAAGGACGTCCAGGTCCCAAGGTAAGGCAGAGGGTCTGCGCTGACCAGGACAATAAATGTCTCAGGGACCAACAGATGGTTTCAAAACCAGATGTGTCCCATGCTATGGCCTTGGGTCAAAGGGCAGAGGCAGAGCAACTGGGGTACAGAAGGGGCATTTGTTTCTGGGCTCCTATCTACAGAGGTGCCACAGATGTGCTACTAGGAGAACTTGTCATTTCAATTCTGTACTGCGTTTTTATCCACAGATCTGTTGTACTTTGAATATGTGAACATGCTCTCATTTCACTTTGCTTTTATTTATTTATGGGCAATATCCAGAGTGGCGGGGGCAGGGTACAAACACACATGACACTCTCTCTCTCACTATGTCCCTTGGAGACATCCCAGAAGACTGAAGCTAGAGCTTCCTGCCAGCCCAGAGGGATGGGGGACTTAGAAATTCACTGAGTTTCAAGAAAATAATGAAGGCTATATTTCTTACATATTCATGGACTGAGATTATACACATGACAAAATTATTACACAATTATTTCTTTAGTTATGGCAGCCTTTTAATGAAATAATCATTTTAGAAAAGGCCAAATTGGTATATATTTCATTTTCTGCTGCACTAGCATCACTCTTTAGCTTGTATTGGCAGCACTGGTTTTGCAGAAGGGTGTGTCTGGTTTAACAAATGGGTTGGTGAATAATTGAATTAATTTTAAATTGTCCTGTCCTTGAGGCAAATCTTTTTAAAATGAAGTCATTTTATTTCTTTATTTATCCATAAGGTAGCACTGTTATACTCTCTTTTCCAAGAGTCTGAACCCTCGAAACAGAGGCTGACAAGTAAGAAGAGAAACAAAACATGTGAAGATTCAGAATAGTTGGATGTAGAGGAGTTTGCGTGTGGCACAGCCATAGAGAATGAGGTGAGGGCGGCAGGGGGTGTGTGATAATAAAGAACAAAGAGAAACAAGGACAAAAGTCAACATGCACGGTGGTGAGGACACGGATTTGCCCTACAAAAGGTCTATGTTCAACTCCAACTCTGCCAATGACTAGTTGGACGACTGAACTCCCTGTACCAAGTCTCCTCGTCTGTAACAGGGACAGTGATACCCAAGCAGAGGGCTGTTGTGAAGTGGGGGGTATTGACTGTGGGGGAGGAGGTCTGCAGGCCTGAGCCTCCATCCCTTTACTCTACCCCAGTGTGCTGTGGGCAGCTTAGGGCAAGTAAAGAACTATTGCTCTTAAGCCTGCATGTGGCTGAGCCTTGCTGATTCTTTGCTGCTTAGCACTGGCTGACAGCATCTTCCAGGGAGGGTCAATCTTGCCGATTTTCTGGGTACAAGGCCTAGTAGAGAGACCTGCTCTTCCAATCCCAACTCAGGGACCTCTGCCAAGGTAATGGCCTCCTACCCTTCCTTGGTTGTCCCCCACCATATCAGTGCTCCATCAATGGCCCATCCTCAGTTCCCCTTCCCTGCAGTACTCAGTCTACAGTAGCTCACCCTCTCACCCCGGATCTACACATCATCTCTGCCTCCCGCTGCCTCCTGTTGTCTTCCCGATCCCATGATCACTGTGGGATCTGCCTCTTTCCCTAAACTCTTTCCCTCTAGACACTCACTCAAAGATCCATCGTCAGTCCGAGAGCCACGCTTGGAACCAGCCACCACTAGTGGAGGTGTACAAGCCTGCGGCCAGCGTGCCCTCAAAACGACTTCAGCCTCCTTTCCTGGAAGGGAGACAGGCAGCTTCCCTAAGCTTTTGTGCTCCTAAGTAAAAGTTTCTGTCTGCCGGAACTGTGCAGACAAAACCAGGGCATTTTTAGGTTTCTGCATTTGGTAAACGTCCACAGAGCATGCTCAATCCCACCCAAGAGACTCGGCGGCTTCGCCTGCGGTACCTTTCCCCTCCTGCGTCCAAGTGCTGCTTTTCGAACTCCCAGTTTTTGTTAGGGGCATAATCCCATTCTACCTCTTCAGCGGCGATGTAAAAGGTTCTTATCATCCCATACGGCTGCTCAGAAGGGTCCTTGTTGCCACAGCTGTTGACCTCGTATATCTGATTCATGCCTCTCGTGAAGTGGTGCAAGGTGGAACAAAACACCCTGAAAATACCTGAAAGAGAAAGGGCTTGTCATGGTGGGTGGACCTCAGTTTTTTTGTTTTTGTTTTGCCGGCAAACTTACGTATTTTATTCCAAAATAAATAATCGGTAAGGTGGATTTTTTTAAATATCAATTTTATATAGTATTTTTAAATCACATCCTAAGGGGAACAAATTACTTTGACTATATTGGCTTATAGGAAAAAAATACTATCTGAAATGGAAAAATGAAACTTGCAAAGTTGCTGCCAAGAAGTACTTTCTCTGGGTCTTCCCTGTTGTACACACCTATTAGAAGACAGTCACTTCTGGAAAATGCACTGATAATTATGATTGTTTTAGCCCAGCCCAGAATTAATTACCTGTATGGTTAAGATCCTAGACAAAGTTCACAGTAGGCTACATTTCTGAAGTCATGTATTTTGCCGTAAAGAATTTCATAAACTAAAAGGCGCAATACACATGTAAGATGTTATCTTTATTATTGAAGCCAAATGTATTACTTCATTAAGCCCTTGAGCAAAGGAGGTTCTCGTTTCCAGTGGTAGGTCTACTTTACGCCAGATGAAAAGAAAAAAGAAAAAAAATCAACTAGATTTCCCTACCTAATACCAATAATCATGTCTGACTGAGAATCATGTAATTTCTTAAACTAAATTTTCTAGGTGCAATGGTATCAGGTAGATATATCTTAATTGAACTCACCATAAAATCATATAAAACAAAATTATTGGAAGATATTAACTCTCAGTGAAGTTACTGGATCCATAAATCTTCCCTTCCTCTAGTAGACTCTGTTCTTAGTGTGTGCCTCTCATTAACTATCATTAACTATCCACAATGCACAGAGATAGCTACACATGTCTACATATTGCCAAATTACCCATTCAGGATGAACAAAAACCATTGGTTCAGTGGGTACGCCAGCACCCAGAGGCACTGACGAGGACCCTCATGAGGAAGGGTCTCTGTGAAACCACAGAGAAGACACCTCTGAAAATAGACTTGGAAAGAGCTCCTTTTTGCATATGTTGTTTTCCAGGCAGTCCATTATTTATGTGATCATCATGTTCTTCAATAGTTGAGGAATTATCTTCTCTAAGACCAAAGAGGAGTTTAAGGCCTTGATTGTGGTATGGTTTCACAGTTGTATGCTTATCTCTAAACTCATCAACTTGTATATATTAGATATGTACAACTTTTTGTATTTCAATCACACCTCAATAATGTGGTTTAAAAATAAAAGAACAAAGAAAATGTTGTTGCAGCCTACAGTCTACTCTACCCAAGCTTTGGACACTCTTTTTGGCTTATAGACATGGGACGGGAATTGGTAAAATGACCAAGCTTTTAAGTAGTCACAGATTTATACTCACCATCAGACGTAAATAGGAAAACAATTTATGGAGCTCTTTAGAAGCCTGTAGGGCACATGAGTAATACTCAAAGCACCGGAATAAGTAGCCAAGTCTCTAAAATTATTCCATCCAGCTCTAGTTTGAGTGCTTGTTTCTATGGATTAAAACTATTTGGCTCTCTCCCTCCCCTCTCCTCTTTGGTCTTAAAGAGTGTATTTAAAAAAAAAAAAAATTGTGTCCAAGGCATCCCTTGGTTGGGTGTTTCATAACTGATCAATTATACTAATGCAGAGAGGTTGAATACTAGAAGTTTATAAGGCAAAGATCATGGAGCTCCTAGTCTCTGGCAGTTCTTGGGCAAAAGTTTTGAAGCCCAAACCTCAAATTTTTAACCAATGACACTGAGAAGCACCTAAACTGCAGTTCCAGTTTGATGTAAAGAAGTAAATATCCATTTATAAAGGAGACAGAGTCAGCAAGTACTCATCTGGGTAGCATATTGGTTTCTTTTTAAGACTAATGAAAAAGTTGGGTTGGAGGAACATGTTAAATGCCCATAGCATTTGCTTGCTATCCTTATTTTTCATGCAACAGCATATGCTGCCATGTGTAGCTCTATATCTTTTATAAAAATGCCCAGATTATCTAATTAGCTTGGAAATCTCTAAGAGAAAGGACAGGTACTGGTACTTCAATGGGCCCTCCATGGACTTCAGACCCAATGCAGCATGTCCTCTGGGAAAACCAAGGGTACCCACAGAATGGAAATAGAGAAGCCCCCAAATTCCTCATCAAGAGGCCACTATCAGTCTCTAGAGAAGGGAGACCAGGCCAAGGCCATAACCTGGAAGCATCTACCGGGCTGTCCATGCCTGGTAGATGCTTCAGAGCAGCAACAAGAATGATGTTTGTGCTTAAAGAGAACAAAAAATATCCTCTTTCTTGGGGCTCAATTGTTCATGGATATGAATCAAGAGCATTCTCCTAGGATTCATGTGGCAAGGTCATTTAAAGGACTCCCACTTCTGCTTTGTGGATGTTATTTTAAATGCCTCTCCTTTGTCCTTTACACTATGTGTTTGGAATAAAATAGTTAGGATTCCTTGATTCTAATCAAGACTGTCTCTCTTTATATACCCTCTGAAATGTCCAAATTCAACCAATTTCTTTTTGGAAAGGACCCTAAGAGTATATGCCTGAAGACAGGAATTTGGTCACCCCAGATGGCCCAGGCAAGTTTACCTGCGTGGTCTGGCTGCATGAATGCCGTTGTGGAGATGTGGGGAAACAGGGCCAAGGAGTCACGATGAGTCCCTCGTAGGTGGATGGTGTTCCCTTGAAAATAAACTCCATGCATGTCGGTGTCAGTGCCCATTCCAATCATATGCCAGGAAACTCTATCCTTTTTGCACATGTTTAGGCCAGGCTGGTTGCCATACATATAGCCGTTAATAGCTAAATGGAAGGAAAAAAGATACAGCCCACTATAATTATATAGATATACTGAAAACACATCATCTTAGTGAAAGATTATCAGTGTGTATGGGGGCAGGGTGTTCAACTGTTCAAGTTCAAACTATTTACAGAAGATCTGTATTATCAGAGAATAAATAGTACTGCGGAAAAGCTACAAGGTGAATCAATTTAAAATGGAGACTAAAACTAACAATGAATAATGAAAATATACTAAAATTGTGAAAATGTTATATTTAACAACATACACACAAGAACACTAATTCTAAGAATAATAAGGAATAAATCAGATTGTTTTCTGGCATAATTTTTTTCTGACAAAATGGATTGATGGTATAATATGATATTCTTTTTATGTTTCTGTCTTGTGGATTATAAAAAAAATAAAAATATTTTACAGATTTTACCAATTTCCCCAAAGTCTTCTCTAAAATTCTAGATATGAAAATCATTTTCTTTTGAGGTTCTTATCCTATCTCCCTTGTTAAGTGTCTCTTTCTCAGTTACTAATTCCTTTAATTTTGTCAGATCCTCATTTGCATTTGATTCTAGAAGTTATCAGACATCCCTTTACTGATTTCACGGATCCTGCATCATTTGAAAGATTTCCAATTGATTGACGGTATATTTGCATGTCTGGTCAGTGAAGAGGGATTTTTTGGATGGAGAGGGACCCTAAGTTTTTAAGAGGTTAGTCTTTGAGTAAGTAATTTTGCCTTTGATAACTTTCATTTCCCTACTCCAAGAGAATAACCGAAGGGACTTTGAATAATGATTACTTAGATATGAAGACCCTCAGTATTTCCTGAAACGCAAATCGTTTTTATCTTTTATATCAACCTCAATCCATTGATAGTGGCTGCCTGGAGCAGTGCCTTGAGAAGAGTTTAGAAATCATATTCCCACTCTGAGGGGGATGATGCCATGATTGTATAGCACTGTCTGAGGGGTGAGTGCACATAATTGTGTCTCAGGCTTGATAGATAAAGATTCTATCCCCACCCTCTCCACTCCCCATTAATGCTTGTAGTGGGAAAGACCAACTGTCATGCACATGAATGATCTTTTGTAATAATTCAAATAAATAAAATTCCTTTTTATTTCTGTCTGCAGAACCAGTGGTGCTTGATAATTTTATTCAGATATCTGCGGTTATTAGTAGAAAATCCAAGAAGACCTGGGGCTTCTGAGAAGAACATCACATTTTCTGAAAAAAAGTCTTTAATAATGCTTTTGCAAATTAATTATCTAAATCTTGTCCATTGAATGTTAAGAAGATATCATTGTAAATTTAGGTGCTAATAATTTAGTCCTTGGCTGGCTGGTAAAGAATTTTCTCTTGCCTTGGAACTCTAGTTTAAAGGCTCTCTTTCTGGAATATTCATCACTCATTCATTCATTCAACAAACACCTTTGAATATAGGTGGTTTACTAATGTAACAACTGATAGAAGAGAGACAGAGATGGAGAATTAAGCAAATCCTCCTAAATAAAGATCTAGGATAGGAATGGCCAGTATTTTACAAATTAACACTTTAGACAGTCATTCATATTACTTGATAAGAGATACTTTGCTGTATGATTATCTCCAATTATCACTTGAGTTATCGGACTTAATGATGTCATTGTGAACCCAACGGAGGGCATTTCGTCAGCGATTTTCTCCGTTTAAGATGTACTGTGATCTTTGCTAGTTTAAATTCTGTGTTGCTTCATCTAAGGCTGATAAAGTGTTTTAGAAGTATTAATTAAGTTTCACAACATCTATGGGAGATAGGGAGGTTTCACCATACCTTGTGAGGCTGGAGCCATCAAATAATTTACTCATGACCAAAACACAATATCCAAGAAGCCAAAATTAAGACAGTTAAGTATTTCAAGCATTTTCACTTTAAATACAATTACGCCTTTCCTTCACAGGAGGGAAAGTCTTTTCTCATACCATGCATTCGGTTGGACTTCACAAACTCTTTGTCCTCCTTGTTGACACTGAAGGGACGCCAGGTAAACCTCTGAATGTTTTCATCAAGATATCTGCTCAGATTCTCATCAAAGACTGTGAATAATAGGTAAAATTCCTTGTCTATTCCTTTCTACATAGAAAAAAGATATGAACATATAAGAAGTACAGCTCGGAGGAATTCTTAGCTATGCTTCACTTTCAAAGTAACACAACGTAAATTAGGATCAACATCAGCCATAGATTTGCTGGGTCATTTTGTGAAGCAGGATTCTGAGCATGATTCTGATAAATTCATTCCACACCCAAAAAATTGATGTTTCTCATTGTAGCCTTCTCCCTCCCCGTGCGACTTCTTGCTCAGGAGCTTTCCTCCTCTGTGGTACTCCCGTTGTCAGGCTGGTCATCACTATCTTATTCTCCTTACCATAGCTTCCATGTCCTGGCCCTGGCCTCTCTGACTTCATCTCCTTGTACTCACCCCTAGCTTACTCCAGCCACCCTGGCCTTTTGCTCTTCTGTGAAGGCGAACACATCAACTTCATTCCTGCCTCAGGGCCTTTTCCCACTGTGCTTCCCACTGCCTAGAAGGTTCTCCCAGGTCTTGCCTGGGTTACTCCCTTACTCCATTCAGTTCCCTATACAAATGTCACCTCCTCAGAGTGCCCTTCCCTGACCACCCTGTCTAAAAAAGTCACGCATCTTCCACCCTGCCTGCAAACTCACTTTACCCATCTTCATAGCACTTATCTCCACCTGAAATTGTATTTTATTTATGAACTTGTAATTTTGACTGTTTTCCCCCTGCAATGTAGGCTTTGTGAGGGTAAGGATGTTGGATATCTATATCCTCAGCTCCAGGAAAAATGCCTGGAAAAGCAGGCACCCAATACACATTTGTGAGTGAAATAATGAATTCACATAACCCATGAGACTTTGCAAAATTATGTTAACTTGAGCTGATATTGAGGGAACTATGGATTACTTCCCACTGTGTGTATTCCTAATCTGTCTATTTGAGCATGTCTGAAAACACAGCATCCAAAATTGCTGAAATGTACTTTTCTTTAAAGCTGAACCAGAGAAGTGACTGTATTTCACGCCCCTCAACATCTTCCTATCTCTAACCAGCTCCCCTCCGATCCACCCTTCATCCTGCTGCCTGCTCCAGAGGGATCCTCAACAATGCCATCTGATCACATCTCTCTCCTTCTTAAACTGGACAATACAATCTGAACTCACAATGAGACCTACCTGTTCGGCCTCATTTCTTGGCCCTTCCCTCCTGGTCCTTTGACTGAAGCGAGGCCAAGCTCCTTACAGCAATTTGAGCTTGCTGCGTTCTGCAGGTCTCTGTCCTTTGTATATATATCCCCCAATTTTGACCATCTGCCACCCTAATCCAACTTCAGGGGCCAGCTTAGCTGTCCTACCTCTGTGAAGCTCCCCTAACTCCTCATGGAAGACGTGGATGCTCCTTGCTTTATGTTCCTACTATACATCATAACCATTTACTGCTTTTATCACACGGTGTTTTAGAAGGCAATAGTTTAAGATCATAGGCTATGAAAAGAAAAAATGTAGGCTTAAAATTTTTCAAAATAAAATATAAAAAATTGCGGGGAAGTAAAAGGCCAAAATATATTTTTAAAAATTATGGGCTATGGGAGCAGGCAGACCTAGATTCTAATGCTGTTCTGCTTACCTGCTGTGAAAACCAGGGCAAGCGATTTATCCCCTCTAAGCCTTAATGCCCTCATTTTCAAAATGAGCATAATAGTAGTCCCCACCTCATGTTTTTTTGTGAAAGTTAAATTAGATAATATAGGTAAAGCACACACATCTGGCAAATACTAAGTAGACAACATTAACTGTCATTATTAGCTGTGATTGCAATTGTCCATAGTACAAGAACAAACCATGGAAAGGAGTTGAGTTGAAGAACCTCATCACCTGAGAGTCATTTGGAGGATAACTGGGTCTATGAGAGTGGGAAATTAGTCCAGAAAAAGGTTAGAAGGAAGGTGATAGGATCTTGCGTGACGGTTAATATTGTGTGTCAACTTGACTGGACCATAAGATACCTAGATATTTGGTCAAACATTATTTTGGGTGTTTCCATGAGGGTGTCTTGGGATGAGAGTAACATTTGAAACAGTAGACTGAGTAAAGCAGATTTCCATTCCTAATGTGGGTGGGCTTCATCCAATCAGTTGAAGGCCTCAATAGAACAAAAAGTCCAATCCTCCCACGAGTAAGAGGGAAGTCCTCCTGCCTGCCTTCAAACTTGAACATCAGCTTTTTCCTGCCCTCAGACTCAAACTGAAACATCGGCTCTTCCTGAGTTCCAGGCCTTTGGACTGGAACTACACCATTGGCTCCCCTGGGTCTCCTGTTTGCTGACTCACCTGCAGATCTTGGAACGTATCAGCCTCCATAATTGCATGAGCCAATTCCTTACACTAAATCTATTTCTATTTACATATACATCCTAATGGTTCTGTTTCTCTGGAGAACTCTGATTAATACACTCTGCTACTTGTGAGTGGGAACACATCTGAGTGATGGCTTGTGTCTGCAGCACAAAGCTATTTTGTGAAGAGCACCTATGTCAGTACATTCTAGGCTCCCATAGCAGCAGGGAAACCGGGAGGTCTGAACCATAAGCCATCACACAACTCTGAGTGCTTAAATGTGGATGAGGGAAACGAGTTTTGAAATGAGGTTGTCCTGGAATTTTCAGTGTCTGTTTGCAGGCCACACATTTAACGTTTGAGATGCGTGTAATGTGGCATTTTCTGTTAACCAAACTTCTTTTTTTTTTTTTTTTTTTTTTTTAAGATTTTATTTATTCATTTTTTTTCCCCCCAAAGCCACAGTAGATAGTTGCATGTCACAGGTTCACATCCCTCCAGTTGCTGTACGTGGGACTCGGCCTCGCGTTGGACGGAGAAGTGGTGCCTCGGGGCGCGCCCGGGATCCGAACCCGGGCCGCCAGCATCAGAGCGCGCGCACTTAACCGCTAAGCCACGGAGCCGGCCTAACCAAACTTCTTAATACAACTTTGAAGAGGAGCGTTCACTCTGTATTTCATTTATGCAAACATAAATATTTGTTGAGTATCAACAAAGCACCAGGCATTGTTCTGGGAAATGAGGATAAGACAGACAAGTTCCTTGCTCCATAGCACTTACATTCTTGTAGGAGGAAACATACTATAAACATAAAAAGATAAATAAAGAAAATGTCCTAAGGTGGTAAATGATATTAAAATCAGGTGATGTGATAGACAGTGACTTTAGCTCAGTGAGCAGGGAAGGGTTCTCTAAGGAGATGACAAGAGTCAGCCATGCAAAGGCTAGAGGGAGCCTAGTAGAGAGGTGCTAGGCCAAGGGTACGCCTGGCCTGTTCGAGGAACAGGAAGGCTAGTGTGGGTGGAGCATAAGCAGGCACGAGGCAGTGTGGTGAGAGATATCAAAGAAGGAGTCAGAGGCTGGGGCATGTAGGCCCAGGCTAAGAAATGTAGATTTTTATTCTAAGTGTGACAGGAAACCACTCGAATTGTTAAACATGGAATTGACTTGATCTTACTTGCATTTTAGAAAAGTCACAGTTGCTGCCCTGTGATGAAATAGATCATAGAGAAAAGAAGAGACACGAAGAAGAGACGACGTGAGATCCTAGATTAGAGTCTGGACCAAGAAAAACATATTTTTCTTTTGTTGCAAAGGTCATCAATAAGACAGCAAAATTTTAAAACGTGGGCAGATTTGATAATAGTACAGTATCAAGGTTAATTTCCTGACTTGGATAATCATACCGTGTTTATGTCAGGAAGTGACCTTGTTTTTCAGAAACATACACTAAAGAGACATCATGTCTGCCACCTACTCTCAAACAGTTCAGCAAGAAAAATAACATAGAAAAATAAAAGTGAGAGAATAACAAAGCAAGTGAGGTATAATGTTTATATTTGGGGAATCTGGGTGAAAGATATATGGGAATTCTTGGTAGTTTCTTTGCAACTTTTCCATAAGCCTGAAATACTTTCAAAATAGAAAGTATAGGATAGATATAGATGGATGGGTGGGTAGATAGATGAATGGATGGATGAATAGACAGACAGACAGATAGATAGATAGATAGATATAGATAGATAGATAGATAATAGAGAATGGAAGTAGAAAGTTTGATTGTGGTTATTGTGGAAGGTCATGAGTGTTAGAAAAGAGCCTAATATCACCTGGTCATGTTTTATGACATCCATTCTCCACTGGGAGAATTTACAGCAATTTACTGGAAGGAGAGGCAAACACCTCTTTACATGTTCATCTCTACGTGCCTAGAAGAGGCGTAAGATTTTACCTATAGAGGGCCTGGCTTAGTATGTGTTTCATAAGCATTTCTTGCACTGAAAATAACTTTCTGTCTGGCCAAATGGACGTCTCTCTCAGCCAAATCCCAGGTATGGAGTGTTTCAGGTTATTTTTTTTTTTTCATGAATTTTGTATAGGTGGACTGACCATGAATGGTATTTGGCTCAGGCAACAACTCCCAGAGACTAGAAGATGCTTCTAGCAAACCTCAAAGTTACCATTAAATGGATACAACAGGGGCAAAGTCAGAACTACCTTACAGAAGTTTTCTGGCACTAAATTTCCCTGGATCAGGCATTTAGCTATTAGGAAGCAGGGTACTACACTGGAAAAAGAACAAAGTTGGACGCTCAAAGTTCCGTGTTCTACTGCTGACTTTCACTACTTCCCAGGTGTGTTTCCTGGGCTGTCACTCAATGTCTCTGAGCCTCAGTTTCTTCAGCTTTAAAATGGGGATATTCATCCTGCTTTGCCCTATTACAGTGTAAATATTCAGTTTTATTGCAAAAGCATTATTGAGGGCCATTCAAAGGGCTAGGGACTCACTGAGCCTCTAATAGACACTTCCAGGATTGGTCTTTGTGCAGGGAAGTGAAAATCTGAGGTGGACCAAGATACTGTGTCCTCTATCTAGAAATTCCTTTGAGCCCAGAAGTGGGTCTGTACGATGCAAAACATTATAAAATATGCCATTTAAATAAATAGTCTTGCTATTTCTGATTGGTGAAGTAATTCCAAATGGTTGAATAACTAGATTTTCCTCAGTGTGTTTAATATCCTGTAGACATGGCTTGAAATGTTATGCTTTGCCATACTCATCAGTACAACCATCTAGGCCTCTAGGGTGGGACTAGCAAGAAATTATCAACACGCTTTTGTTGCTTCAGCCATAGTGATTAACTTCCAGTTTACAGTGGTGAGTGACAGTGGTTCGCAATCCTGGCTGCACGTTGGAATCACCTGGAGATTATGATTTAATTCGTCTGGAACATCTGAATAAAAGATGTTTAAAAGGTCCCCAGGTGCTTCTAATGTGTGGCCAAGTTTGAGAAACCTGAATAATTAGGTTGAGAAAGTTGAAATAATTGCCTGAGCTCACAGGGCTGGTAAGTGAAGGGAACAGGTTTGTCCAGTCCCCAAGAAAAAAGGATCCCAATTTGCATTCCATGCAGATCTCTTAAGATTCCACAATCAAAGCAACACACAGGGAAAGAGAGCTGCTGAATCCTAGCCACAGCAAGCAGAAATCCTGGGTTTCTGGGTGAACATCTCTAACTTTGGGAAGTCCAATCTTAAATTCACAAAAAAATAAAATAAAATTCCTATTACGTAGAAGTCAATTTCAAGAGGAAGGAGGAAAAAATTGCTTTTTGTAACTGCCTCTTTATTACTATCTAATCTCTAGCCATATTACTGATTTCTCCCACATACAACCCTGAGAAGAACTTGGTGACATGTGATGGCCTACCTGTGTCCCGTCAGCATTGAGAGCACCCTTTTTACAAACTAGCAAAGGTCCTACGAGGCCAGAGCTGGTGTCTTTGATTGGCTCAACTGCTGAGAAGTAAAGATAGGTCAGACAGGGGGCATCACCAGCTGCTGGGCTCACGCTTTCTGGCACCGTCCACCTGTACGTGAAGGTTTCACCTGGCTTAACGCGTGCCCCTGGTTTCAGAAATCCTGAGGAGACAAATGAAACAATTACCCAAAGCAACAGCCAAGAACATTAAACTTGTCAGACTGGGTCTTCCAGCTGTGGGTGTCTCTCTCTGATGATTTATTTTGTAGAAGGATGGTTGTTTTTGCTTGTGTATCTTACCAGGGGAGGCCAGAAAATCTGCCACAGTTTCAGAGATAGAAGCTGATATCAAAGAATTGTCTTCTTGATAGCTTACATTTATTATCTTCATAGATACTCTTTCTTACTCAAATACTAAAAGAGTGATAATTATTAAATATTAAAAGAGTGATAATCGCCCATTTAGCAACTGAATATAAAGCCGTAAAATATCACTAAGTACCTTCTATGTGGAATATATTATACGTGGCCCTGCAGAGGATACCCCAAAAAGTTAAGCAAGAGCCCTAGTTCAAAGAGTTTGAAATTTAGAAGATTGAACTAGGAAATAACCCAAATAATTACAAGATAGAGGAGCTAAGTGAATGCCCAGGGTTACAACACTGACAAATGGCAGATTTTGGATTCAAACTGAGGGCTGATTCCAAAAACTGTGCATTCAATCCTCACGTTGTATTGCCGAATGAACACATTGAATCTCTCCAGCTAGACGGAGGCCAGAGACTCTCTGCATCTTGTCCAGAGCTTTGCAAAAAGGTGCCCAATAAGTTTGCAGAGTTAAACAATAGAAAATATAAACATTTGAGCTAGTATTGGCGTTCTTTCTGTACACACACAAAAAGTCATTGTGAGCATTTTGACCAAGGAAGAGGGTGCAGGTATAGGAGACATTGCTGTAACAGAGGAGGATGAGGATGGGTCTGGGGAGGCGGAATTCTCCCTCCATTCCTTCCTTCTCTGTCCCCTCACCATCAACGCAAAGCCTGCTCTGGACTGGGCCTGGTCTCACACTGGGGCGTGAAGAAGTATCCCAGGCAGCCATGATGTCTGTTGCAGTGACGGGAAGGCTTCCAAGGAGACCAGGAGTTTCCCAAGAGCAGTATCATGAATGGAAGGATAGTTCCTGCAGCCACTGGGCAGAAGCTGCCTTACTTATGGGCAGAGAGCCTGTGCTACCTACTCTGACGGGGAGAGGCTGTATATGATGATAAGCACATAACACTGGTTTTAAATAAATATTTGTTGAAAGATACAGAGCAAAGACCATGTGTAAGATTTAATTGTCAACAAAACATTGGAAATCAGATTTTCCCCTTAGCCTTCACCCATAGAATCTCATGCAACCTGCAACAGGAAAGCTCTCCATCTTAGAGAAGTGGGCACGACTGTGAAAGTAGCTCATTTTGAAATTTATTACATTACTGAGGGAAAAGGAAAGGAGTTAATGTTTCCTAAGAACCTACGGTGGGCCAGACCCACAGTCTGAATTCTCTCCATCTCTTCCCAAAGCCCTGTGAGGTGAGCCTCGTTATCCGCATTCATAGGTGAGAATAATAAGGTTCAGAAAGTTGAAATAACTGCCTGAGCTCACTGGGCTGATAAGTTAAGGGACCAGGTCTGTCCAGTTCTAAGTCCTTTGCTCATTCATCCTGTTTCCTCCCTAAGCCCAGGCTGAGACTTACCATCTACATTTGGGGCTGCATCAGAGGCCTTGTCATAGATCACACCATGGGGCAAAATACTGTAGACTTTGTCAGCTTTGTTGGCAAAGGTCACCAACAGGGTATCGCCCACCTCTGCTCTGATGACTGGGCCTGAAAAATACCGAGAGGAGGAGAGAGGAGATGATGAAAAGAGACGGAAAGAAGTGAATATGGGCAGGAGAAGAAGAGACATTCCATGTAGGTATATGCCTGGCTAAAATATCCGCCCCCCCCCCAGCCCCCGTTCAAAACATGGTGGATGGTTTTACTCTACCAAGAATTCCAAGATGGGTTTCTGCCCCGGAGAGTCTCTTTCTTCGAGTAAAAGTTGCATCAACATATTCCACATACTGAGCCTTCCAATATTTTCCTCCTATTCTGTTGTCCCCTTGTGTGAAGTAGAGCTCAGAGTCACTATGGAAAGAATAGGAACCTGACTGAGAATACATCTCTGCATATGCACCTAATGCCTTAATTATGGAGCTTCATTTTATTGTCTTTAGCCCAAGTTCACCCACCCACCTCCCCAGAAAAGACGGCACAGGCTTCAACAAAGTTCCCAGGAACAGTCAACCAGCCTTAAAAGTTTTCAGAAGCTGGGGGGCCGGCCCTGTGGCTTAGCAGTTAAGTGCCCACGCTCTGCTACTGGAGGCCCGGGTTCGGATCCCGGGCATGCACTGATGCACCACTTGTCTGGCCATGCTGAGGCGGCGTCCCACATACAGCAACTAGAAGGATGTGCAACTATGACATACAACTATCCATGGGGGCTTTGGGGAGAAAAAGGGAAAAAAAAAAAAGGAGGAGGATTGGCAATAGATGTTAGGTCAGGGCCGGTCTTCCTCAGCAAAAAAAAAAAAAAAGAGAGAGAGAGAGGAAGATTGGCATGGATGTTAGCTCAGGGCTGATCTTCCTCACAAAAAGAAAAAAAAGTTTTCAGAAGCTAGATGATGCTCAAGTTCATTTCTCTCTTAGCCATTGTACTTTCTTCCCCAGAAGTCCAGCAACTGATGAAGGCACAGGTAAACTCCTTATTTACCAGTACTGGAGTCCCAGAAGGGTGTCCTACAAAGTAACAAAGAGCTAACTGGTTTCTTTGCAGAATGAGCACCCCTTTATCTCTTGCTGATGTGAGTATGAACAGTGTCTGCATATAGTAAGCTCTTTGAGATCTGGCATGATTAAGGAATACAGTGTCTAGTTAATCAAATATTTTAATTAACGGAGAGTTATCATATAAACTATATACATGAAATACCAAATTTCAAAGTTGTGAAATACAATAATATAAATTCTGACTAGGACTATCTCTATCCTATTTTACATCTGTCTATGGTACCATAGACAGTCACACAGGCTTTTATCTTCTTTTTCTGCCTCATCCCCTTATCTTGTTTATTGTGACTTTGTATCCTTTTATTACATCCTTCCTTTTCTGTACCTTTTTTTCATCTTTTCCTTTCTTCCCACTGCCACAACCCCAGCTCATGCCCTTATCACCTTGTGCGTGTACCATTATATGAACCTCCTGACCGCACAGTCTGCATCCTCTGTCTCACACTGGCTCACTCAGCTTTTTCTCGGTATACAAACTGCTACAACATTAATCTCCAAAATGATAATTTTCATTGTCATTTACCTGCTGCAACATTTTCAGTTGCTTCTAATTGCCAATCAAATAAAGTTCAAAAGGATTATAAGCCCTTTGCAATTGATATCCAGTTCACTTTATCCCAATTCTCTCCCTACGGCTCCCTGCAAATACCCATTCACCTGGGCAAATCCCCACTCCAATCATTCTGATCTAACCACTCTCCTCTACAAGGTAGGTGCTTTGCATCCACCCCTGCATCTCAAATTTCCCTCTTGACTATTCACTTATATAAATTCTATCATTCTTCAAGACCCTGTTTAAGTCCTACTTCGTCTGTGAAGTGTTCCAGGCTATCTTAGCTCTCTCTGAACGCCCAGAGAACTCACTGCCTGGATGGTTCGTCTTAGTCTTATTTGTAACTTGCAAAGTTACTTCTCTTCTCCTGTGAACACTGCTTTTTTCTCCACCTGAGGGTGGGAACATTGTCTTAGACCTCTTTGCATCCCTCATGTCACTTAGAACGTTGTGCTTTCATATATTACATTAAATACTGATTGAATATAGCTTAATATTTCATATTTTATAAGGTGCCTCAGAATTCTGGAAGGCTCCTAAGACGTAATTTTCAATGTTAATTCTCATTATTCTGTTTATGGAGAAATACTAGTCAATAGAGAATATTGATAGCAAAGAGTTTTTCAGAGTTTTAAGGTTCACACAAATTCTTTAGGAAAGGCTCAAATACATCAGTTTGGTAGAAGAATAAATGAACGAATGGGTGAATGGATGAAATTTACAATGAAAGAAACAAAGGGTATCATATTGATCACAAAGAGAATTTTTAAAACATTCCCTCAGGGGCTGGCCCTGTGGCATAGCGGTTAAGTCCACGTGCTCCGCTTTGGAGGCCCGGGGTTCGTAGGTTCGAATCCCAGGCACAGACTGATGCCCCACTCATCAAGCCATGGTGTGGCGGCATCTCACATACAAAAATAAAGGAAGATGGGCACAGATGCTAGCTCAGAGCCAATCTTCCTCAGCAAAAGGAGGAAGATTGGCAACAAATTTTAGCTTAGGGCCAATCTCCCTCACCAAAAAAAAACCAAACCAAACCAAAACAAAATATTCCCTTAAACATAAAAAGGATCATAAAGTAATAGCAATACTTCTTGGTATCACATTATACATTTGTTAATGCTTTCACAGACATCATTGCATATGATTGTACAATAACAAGTCACAGGAGTCCACATCCACTTAATGAATTGTTAGATTCTATTTGAAAAATACTACGTGCTATGGGAGCCCAGACAGAAAATGATTAACTATGACTTAGCAGTCAGGGGAAAGTTCATGTAAGAGGTGACATTAGAGTTAAATTTTGGAGGAAAAATGTCATTTTACTGGACAGGGAGGAAAAGGACATTCTGGATAGAGGGGGCATAACTTATATCAGGCTGTCCTTGAACCAAAAAAGGTAACCTTCCTTGGCCAGTTCATTTCCATTGAGAGTCCTGTCTTATTCCCTCTTCAAAACCATCTGCTCCATATGTACAAAAGCCTAATTCTCTTCTCTGTTAGCTTAGTATTTCTCATGGCGGTTTGCACATAGTAAGTGCTCAAGAAATGTTTGATGAAAGAATGAATGAATGAACGAATGAATCTAGTGCTTTGATTTAGCCAACAAACCATGGAGTGATGAATACTCTGCCAATTCTCAGCAACATATCAGGGGCTCAGAACTCCTTAAGGGGTATCATTATGCCCTCTATGCAGTTTGTGCTCATGAGAGCAGTGTCTGGAATACAAACGAAATCACAGGGAAAAGCCCAACAGATGCCTCTCTTACGAGAGGCCTAGAAACACCAGCAAAGAGAGCTTACCTGCCAGAGGCGTTTAGGGGAAGACCATTGAATTTGTTATAGCCTTGAGGACCATAATCCCAAAGAATTTTTTCAGCTGCTATAAAGTAGCGCCTCTGTTGACCCTTCATCTTGGGGTGAGAAACACCACTTTTGCAGTTACCAACATTGTATTGCCCCAGCATACCAGCTGCAGAACAGAGGAAAACCACAAGCCAAGGTATAAATGCTCACAAAAGAAATCAAACAGGAAAAGACTGAGAGATTTGACTTCACGAACATTTAAAACTTTTGTACAGAAAATAAAACCATAAACGAAGTTAAAAGTAAAGGTTAAATGGTGGGGAGGTGGATATTTTAACACATATGACAAAAGATTAATATGTAAATAACTTGACAAATAAACAGGAAAAAAGTAAATCTCCCAATAGAAAATAGACAAGAGACATAAATAAGTTATTCACAAAAGAAGTACTATCGGCCCATAAGCAAATAAAAAAAAAGTCCAACCTTAATAGTAATTAAGTGACACTTGTTAATTTATCAGATTGGTAAAGATTAGAAAGACCAATAATTCTCAGTGTTGGCAGATGAATGGGGAAAAGGGAATGCTCATACACTGCAAGTGAAGAGTAACAATTTCTAAAAGGGAATCTGGCAATATATGTCCATAGCTTAAAAAAAAGAGATCAAACTGTTTGACCCAGGAATTCCAAATCCAGGAGTTTTCCTAAGAAAATATCAGACAAAAGTATAAACGTATCTATAAATTGAGACTTATAATAGCAAAAAAAAATAGGGAAAATATAAGTGTTAAGCAATAGAGTGCTGGTTAAGTAAACTGTAATCTCCTTATAAAGGACACTGGAAGGATTAACAATGATGTAATAGATCTATATTCACTGACGTGGAAGTATATTTCTGATATATTAAGAAGTAGGAAAAGTAAGCTACAAGGCAGTATTGACAGACTAATTTCATTTTATAAATAACATATGCATTTATATATAAAGGTCTAGAAAATAGGGAGGATATCATCAAAATGTGACATCATTATTTTTAGACGGGATTACTGATTTAAAAATTGAATTATATGTATTTTCTAATTTTTTACAATAATTTTTTCTTAGGGTATGGAGAATTTAGGAAATACTGTGTTTCAGTAATGTATAAATACCAGTCTATGTCCACAACTACTGGCCAAGCTTAGCAATTTTACTAGTCTGAAATGGCTGCTAATGCCTTGATTTTTTTAGGTTTAATTTTTTTATTGAGGTAACATTGGTTTATAATATTATATAAATTTCAGGTGTACATCATTATATTTCGATTTCTGTGTAGATTACATCATGTTCACCACCCAAAGACTAATTACAATCCGTCACCATACACATGTGCTCAGTCACCCCTTTTGCCCTTCTCCCTCCCCACTACCCTCTGGTAACCACCAATCCAACCTCTATGTGTTGGTTTGTTGTTGTTTTTATCTTCTATTTATAAGTGAGATCATATGGTATTTGACTTTCTCCCTCTGACTTTTTCACTTAGTGGAATGCCCTCAAGGTCCATCCATGTTGTCACAAATGGCCAGATTTCATCCTTTTTTATGGTTCAGTAGTATTCCATTGTGTATATATACCACATCTTCTTTATCCATTCATCCCTTGAAGGGCACCTAGGTGGTTTTCAAGTCTTGGCTATTGTGAATAATGCTGCAATGAACATAAGGGTGCATGTATCTCTACATTCGTGTTTTCATGTTCTTTGGATAAATACCAAGTAGTGGAATAGCTGGATCATATGGTAGTTCTAGTCTTAATTACTTGAGGAATCTCCATACTGTTTTCCATAGTGGCTGCACCAGTTTGCACTCCCAGCAGCAGTTTAGGAGGGTTCCCTTTTCTCTACATCCTCTCCAACACTTGTTATTTCCTGTCTTGTTAATTATAGCCATTCTCACGGGCATGAGGTGGTATCTCATTGTAGATTTGACTTGCATTTCCCTAATAATTGGTGATGTTGAACATCTTTTCATGTGCCTGTTGGCCATCTGTATATCTTCTTTGGAAAAATATCTGTTCATATCTTTTGCCCATTTTATAACTGGATTTTTTGGGTTTTCTTGTTGAGATGTATGAGTTCTTTATATATTTTGGACATTAACCTCTTATCAGATATATGGCTTGCAAATATCTTCTCCCAATTTTTAGGTTGTCTTTTCATTTTGTTGATGGTTTCCTTTGCTATGCAGAAGCTTTTAGTTTGATGTAGTCCCATTTGTTTATTTTTTCTATTGTTTCTCTTGCCTGGTCAGACATGGTACTTGAAAATATGCTGCTAAGACCAATGTCAAAGAGCATACTGCCTATGTTTTCTTCTAGAAGTTTCATGGTTTCAGGTCTTACATTCAAGTCTTTAATCCATTTTGAGTTAATTTTTGAGTATGGTCTAATGTAATGGTCTACTTTCATTCTTTTGCATGTGGCTGTCCAGTTTTCCCAACACAATTTATTGAAGAGACTTTCCTTTCTCCATTGTATGTTCTTGGCTCCCTTGTCGAAAATTAGCTGTCCATAGATGTGTGCGTTTATTTCCAGGCTCTCTATTCTGTTCCATTGATCTATGTGTCTGGTTTTGTGCCAGTACCATGCTGTTTTGGTTACTATAGCTTTGTAGCATATTTTGAAATCAGGGAGTGTGATACCTCCAGCTTTGTTCTTTTTTCTCAGGATTCTGTCAGCTAGTTGGGGTCTTTTGCTGTTCCATATAAATTTTAGGATTCTTTATTCTATTTCTGTGAAAAATGTCATTGGAACTTTGATAGGGATTGCATTGAATCTGTAGATTGCTTTAGGAAGTATGGACATTTTAACTATGTGAATTCTTCCAACCTAAAAGCATGGAATATCTTTCCATTTCTCTGTGTCTTTGTCAATTTCTTTCAACAATGTTTTATAGTTTTTAGTACACAAGTCTTTCACCTCTTTAGTTAAATTTATTCCTAGGTATTTTATTTTTTTTTTTGGTTGTAATTGTAAATGGGATTGTATTCTTAATTTCTCTTTCTGCTACTTCATTGTTAGTGTATAGAAACACCACTGATTTATGTATGTTGATTTTGTATCCTGCAACTTTACTATATTCTTTTATTATTTCTAAAAGTTTTCTGGTGGATTCTTTAGGGTTTTCTATATACAAAATCATGTCATCTGCAAATAGTGACAGTTTCACTTCTTCCCTTCCAATTTGGATCCCTTTTATTTTTATTTTTTCTTTCTTTATTGCTCTGGCTATAATTTCCAATGCTATGCTAAATAAGAGTGGCAAAAGTGGGCATCCTTGTCTGGTTCCTGGTTTTAGAGGGATAGCTTTCAGTTTTTCTCCATTGAGCATGATATTGGCTGTGGGTTTGTCATACATAGCCTTTATTATGTTGAGGTACTTTCCTTCTATACCCATTTTATTCAAAGTTTTTATCATAAATGGATGCTATATCTCGTCAAATGCTTTCTTTGTAATGCCTAGATTTTAAAACTAGTTTCTTCCCAGATTTAACAGCATGAGACCCTTTAAGAATAGGGATTCTGTGTTTAGAACATACCCTCTTAGGAAATTTCAAATATACAACACAGTATTGTTGAATGTAGTCATCATGATGTATATGAGATCTCCAGAACTCAGTCATCCTGCAAAACTGAAACTTGGTACTCTTTGAGATCTTAAGTGTTCTCACCAAACACACACAAAAAAGTAACTATGTGAGGTGATAGATATGTTAATTAGCGTGAGCATGGTGATCAGTTCACAATGTATAATATACCAAAACATCAAGTTGTATATCTTAAATATACACAGTTCCTATTTGTCAATTATACCTCAATAAAGCCAGGGGAAAAAAGAATAGGAACCTTGTCTTGTTCATCTTTGTCTTCCCAGAACAGTGACTGTACATATTAATTGACCAACTCAATATTTGTTGAATTGAATTTAATAAGAATAACCCAGCTGCCTAATGCTAAGATTAGCTGCTTAAGGTGGATGGGAACAAGAATGTGTTATGAAGGCAGTCCCTGAAGAGGTGAATTACTGTACCTGTTAGTGACTGTGTATAGTTAGTCAGTATCCAAATTTAATCACACATTATTTCTTCTGTGTCTTTCCCATTGACACATTTTCTTTTTCTATTCGTTTTTTACCATCTTAGGGCAGAAGATTTGTATGTCATAACTGTAATGTTGCCAATGCTTCTTAACCAGCATCCAGTGGCCAGAATCTCTCCATCGAATCCTTTCTGCACACGGACATCATGTTTATCTCCGTAAATGACTGCATATGATTATCTTACTAGTGTTCCTAGGGATCTAGAAGGACTCACTATTGCCTCCCAGACATGGTCCCACCTCCTTAGCCTTGGCATTCAAAACTGCTCCCACTGGAGCTCAATCTGCTTCTCCAGGCTTCTCTCTCCTCACTACTCTGGCATAAGCCTATAGTCCAGCCAAGTAAAGACCTATTCTGTGTGGTCCCAAGGAATCAGGACCAAGTCATTCAACAGGCATTTAAGTCAATAAATGTTTATGGTGCACTTATCATTGGATTTTGTCTCAATATAAGGAAGAACATTATAATAGAGCAGCCCAGAGATGAAACGGGCTGCTACAATTACTTCAAAGAGATGTTCAGAAAGAAACTCAAGAATTAAACGGGGGATTGGTCCAGATTATCTATAAATTTTTTCCACTGCTAAACATTTAATATTCTATTTAAAGTTGCTCATATAGAACATGTGTTTTTCCCAGTTCGTGTTGCCTCCTCTACCTAGCAAGCCTTTCTTCCCTTCTACATCTATTCAATTCCTACCCATATTTCAAGGCTGAGATTAGGGGCCAATGCTTCAGGAAGCCTCCCTGCTCCAGAGAAATGAATGTAGCTCCCAAAGAACATTTATCTCATTCTGCCTCAAATTTTATTTATTTTGTAAATATCTAACTATGTCTAGCTACTACATTATAGGCTCCTTGAAGGTCTTATCATTTCCTTCAATCACCTCCTGCCTTGTTCATAAGAGGTAATCAATAAACACCTGTTGATAAGATGCTGAATAAATGAGCATTGTACATTTTTCTGTATATTTAATAGTTAATTAAATATAATACATACAAAAATCTATCTAACAGCAGACACTAAATGAGCACCATTGACTGTGTGGTGTAATTGTACCATTCTAAGCATCTCCACACTGGTCTTTGTCCTTTCTTACCTTGTAGGTGATCACTGACTTGGCAAGTTATCATCCACTTCCCAGGATTCTCAACTATCATTTCTGTTGTCAGAAAGGTGGCTGGGAACAGGTTGACAACATCAGTCCGATGCCCTCTGCTGATGAACGTGTTACCATAAAAATAGATGGAATGGATGTCTATCTCATTCCCCATCCCAAATAGGTGCCAGGAGACCGATTCACCAACGCACATTTCAGGCTCAGGGAAGTTTCCAAAGAGGTATCCATTCAGGGCTGAAAAACAGAAGCACCCTAGTGTTAGAGACTCCCTTGCAGAGGTGGTAGAACCAGAAATGTGGTAATACATTGTCAGCACAGCTGGCAAATCAGCGCAGATCATTGGTTGTAATGATTTTGTAGAGAAAAGCATGGCTCCTTTCATAAAATATAGTCCTAGAAAGGAATAAAAGGCATTAGTCTTTTCAAGAGAAAAGCACACAATAAAAGTGAAGATCAGCACACAGGAAAGCAGACTTGGAGCTGCTATGTGAACACAATAATGAGATCAGGAGTAAACAGAGCCTGCTCACACTTCCAGGATGGCTCAGCCACCTCCTATGGGGGTCCTTCATTTGCATATCTGCCTTCCCCACTGAACTCTGTTCCTTGCAACTAATAAAAGCATGCAGCTAGCAGGAAAGGAAAAAAACTGATTAGAAGGGACTTATGAGATGTGTTACTTTAAAGTTTTGTTACTTTAAAAGCAGGGAGAAAAAACAGTTTTTACTAGGTCTTGCTGGGGGAGAATCTTGTTGATTGAGCTTAAACCATAAGTTCGAGACCCTGTACCTTTAAATCCTCTAAATGGCAGTTGCGACTTCACCAAGTGCAGAAAAAACTTGATTTGGGGTTTTAAAAAGTCATAACGTCACTTCTTAAATTCAAACTCAGTTAAAAAGCAATTGTCACTAAGATAATAATGATTAGGCAGCACAATTAATTCAAATAACTTTAGAAATTTAAATAAATTTATCAATAAATCTTGTATTCATTGAGCATCTTCGATAGTCTAGATTGGTTTTTTTTAAGTTAATTTTTTTCTATTCTTGGTTAGGTCTTCTTTGCCAGTCTGAAGAAGGATTCATAGTTTGCAAACATCTGCTTCTGCATACAGACTGATTTTTATTTTAAAATGCAGTCTATAGTTGCTTATGTGTTTCATTTCATTTTGCTGGATATTTTTCACTCCAAAAGAGGAGAAGAGTTATGTGGGCAGCTGAGTCTTCAACCATCACAATTAGTAGTTTTCAGCAAGATTTGAGATCACCACTTCCATTATATCAAGAACAGGGATAAAAGGTATCTGGTCACAGCAATGATTTGAATTTAGGTCTTCATTTATTCCATCCTTCATTCTTCCCCTGTCTCCTACCCTCCCTCCCTTCTCTCCTCTACACATCCTTCCCTCCTAAAATATCTTCCAAGCACCCAATACACCCAAGGTTGCTGAAATGTCAGTAGAAGGAAAAGAGGGCATGTGAGACAATGGAAATAGTCAGTATACCGACAATCACGCCTCGAGGCACTTGGCAATCAAACACGACCAAATTAAAATTTATTTGCTATGGTGTAGGAGGAGGTCACTGAGAGGCCACGACCACCAGTTGACCCACAAACTGGACCAGGCGGTGGACTGTTTGTTTATACTGAAGATTTTCTTTATGTCCACTAAAACTCTCTAGGAAAGAGTGGAAGGAGACTATTTAATAATCCCCACATTCTAAAACTCTGCATTAAGCCACTGCTGTGTGAAACAGGATGGGTAAGTATTCTTTCTCAACTGACAGGATAACTATAGAAATTCACTACTTTCAACAAATACAGGGTCGGGTGCATAATAAATGTTGTTGACTTAAAGAATGTCTGGGAAACATAACAGATTCACCAGTGTGTATTTAAACCCCGTGTATAGCACAGTCTTAAAATTTAGCAGCCACTCAAAAAATGGTTGCTGGATAAAGCAAGAGGTTGCAAACCACAGAACTGTTATATGATGATGATTTCATTCTCTTTTCTCCTATCACTCTAAACCTCTCATCCTCTGGACTCTCCTCCTGATTCTTTCCCTATTATAACATTAATCCTTCCGCTTTCTGTAACACAGCTTTGTCCATATGTCATACATAACCAATTAAGGTTTAGCTTATCTATTGCCTTGTCTGTTCTCAGACTGTTTTAGGTTTTGACATATATTGGGTTTCATATCACTTTCCGATTATTCTCATCACTAAGTTATAAATCTTGGAAAACTAAGTTTGACATTTCTGTGTTTTTTGCATCCTTTGTAGTACCAGATACGGAAAAGGCAATCGGGATATATTTGACCACATGGGAGACACTCACCGTGCATTTTGTTACTCCTCCGGAAAACAGCATCTTTTTTGTCAACTGAATCAGGGTCAGTGCAGAAATGTCTGATATTTTCATCTAGGTACCAGCTTTGATTCTCATCCACCAGAGTAAACATTATAATGAACTCTCGGTCCACATCAGTCCTTGTCCCCGAATATTTATGCAGGATACCTATCAGGCACATTCAAAAGAGTAGAGAAAAAAGGTCAAGGTGGACTAAATCAAGATTAGCTTTGCTTCTTGCCAACAGTGCGAGACAAGTTTGAAGTTTGTCAAAGACCTATACGTACAAGAGTAACCCATAACGTAAAAGCAGTGGCTTTAATGGAAATAACAGAACCATAGAAGAGAAAAATCATAAAACAAATCTTCACAACGGCAGACTTAGAAACCTGGCTATCCCTAAAGGAAGTCAGTTTTATTGACAGAGCACAGATACACTAAATCAATTAATTGAGAATAAAATAGCAAAGTGATTATGTGGGTGAAATAATGAAACAAAAGCATCTCTGGTCATTTGACTACATTTTACACTATCCTATGTGTGGTGTGAACAGCTCTTACTATGGAATATTCCATTATAAAAATATATAAGTTTCATAACGCTATGATGGTTCTTGGGCAGAAGTCTGAATTATTGCACCTGCTATGGTATCAGATAGATATTCTATGTTAGAAGAATTTTCCTAATCTTAAAGAAAGTTTGGGAAAAAAGGCACATTCTGTGTGGAACAAGGGAGGTAGGCAAGACAAGACCTAAAGTTTAGCTACACTTCTCAACACACTTGGGAACAGGCTCCTTGGGGTGTTCGGGAAGGGGTGAGGAGCCTCCTTACCTTCTTTGCACACCAGCAGTGGGCCAATTAGCCCGGAGCAGATGTCCTTAGGGGCATCGATGTGCGAATGGTACACCCAGGTCAGGCAGTTGGCATCTGCGGGAGCAGGTGCATATTCTTCTCTCACTGGCCACACGTAGGTGTAGTTTTTGCCAGGAGGAACCATGTCATCATTCTTGTTCTTCCCAGATGTTCCATCTGGGTACAGAGCTCCTTCCAAGAAAAGAGAAAACACAGTTAAAACACAGAGATCACATGCTGTAGTGGAGAGACAGAGCTTTGGAATCAAACACACATGCAATAAAATTTGTTTACAAGGGGACTTGAGGCAAGTTACTTAAATTCTCAGTGCCTCAGTTTTCTACCAGTAAAGCTGGAATGTTGAGATCTACCCCACAGGGATGTGAGAACTAGATGAGGCAATGTATGTGAAGTGCCCTGCATAGAACCAGATGTTTAATAAGTGTCCATAAGGACCCCTTCTGATGGGCTTCCTGTACCAGTCAGGAAGATTTCAATTCACTTCACTTCACATCAACTCAAGAAGGAAAGGAGAAGCAGCAGAAGAAATAATGAACTTTGGGCACTTATTACAGATTCAGCATCTGTGTGAGGTCTCATGAGAAATAGGAAGGAATAGTAGACATTCTTCCTGCCTTCAGGGATCTTACAGTTCTGTTCGGCAAACCAGAATATGTATTATGAACACATGGCACAACTGGAGAATAAAACAGGGTGAAGTGTTGAATGTAATTTTGGGTCTATTCAAGGTGGGAGTCTACTACAGAGAGGCTAGAGGCAAATGGGCAAAGCATTCCCTTTTTATGTCTCATAAACTAAGATTGCACAAGACTTTTCAGTTAAGGAAAGCCCACTGCTAAAAATAGTTCAAACACCACCTGGGCAGAAGGCAGGAGACCAATCTGTGCAAGTTATAACTATCAGAAGCTTCAAAACAGAGGTGGGATTTGGGAAACTTGAAGGACAGGGAGGAGTTGGATGGTACTGAGAAGAAGCTGGAGGGTGAGGGGTAGAGAGAGGGATGGATGTGGACACACTCCAAGTTCATTCTCCATGCTTTCATTTGTTTACTAATTCATTCAACCAACCTGTATTGGGTATCGACCACATGCCAGCAAATGTGCTAGGCATTAGGAATACAAATCCAAATAAGACAGCAAGAGCCAGTATAGCCAAGGCAAGCCAAAGAAAGATATAACTTAAAAATCTAACATTATCTTTTTAACAAATTCTACCTTGAAAACATAGTTTGATTTTTGGAAAAGGATGCCAGGAAAAAACAACAGCTAAGCCAGCTAAGCCCCTATATTGTGCCAAGCATAGTGGGTACTTTGTGTATATTATCTCACTCTTCAAAGCAACCCCATATGGTAGGTATTAATATTCGCTTTTAGATTAAATCAAGGTAACACTAGATTTCAATCTAATTGTATCTGACTTCTCACTACACTATGATACCTTCCCACAAATTATTGGGAATACAGTATATGGACTATTTTTACATATTTATTCATTTTATTTTTATATAGCTTCTTCTTATGTATATGTTTATATAAAACATTCTTTTACATACTAACTTTTAATAACTTTTATTCTGACAAGAAGATGAATCATTTTGCAGATTAAACCCATGTGCTGTATAATCTTCAAAGATAAAGTCAGAGAGCAAAACCTATACAAAGAAAGCAGATTAATTTAATTAATTACGTCCTTTCAGTATTAAGTGTAGCTCTGAATTTCCTGAGCTACACCTGAATTATACCTAGGTCATACTGGTATATATAGGTTTAATATATATTAGGTTGTTATAATTAGGTTATGTTGTTTCTTTGTCTAATAAAAGGAAACTTATCAGTTCCTTAAGAGAGAGGAACTTTTTGCTGGTACTAAATTTTAAGAAAATATTTTCAAGAAAGTCATTATATACAAATTATTGAGTAATACAATGAATTATGTTTTTGATGTTTTCAAGAATGATTTCCAAAAGATGCAAAAATATTCTTTTTAAAGATAATTTCTATCGTTGTCTCTTAATGAAAGGTGAGAATATAACACTGAAAAGTATTTGACAAAACCATTTTTACTCAAAGTTAAACTAATGTAGTTTACTACCTTCTAACTTGATAACTGATCTAACCTGATAGGGGAATAGGAAAAACCCGTAGTGCTACCCACCATTCATTAAATCCAAATGACATTTTAAAAATTTCTGTGTTACCTAACCTCTTGGTGGCATTTGATATTATTGTCATTTTCCTCCCTCTTAAACAAATCTCCTCCCTTGGCTCCTCTGACATCACACCGTCCTCTCTGGCAACTCTTTTTCAGTCTAGTTTTCCAGTTCATTCTCCTTTATCTGCCATTCAATGTCAGAATCCTCAAGGTATAATGCTGGCTCCCTTCCTTCCATGCCCAGAGCGCTCTTCCTGGTTGATAGTACCCATCCCTGCAGTGCCCCAGTCAGTTACATGCCAGTGACTCCCACTTTTATCTCCAGCCTGGACCTGGCCTCTGAACTCTGCACTGATATCTTACTGTCTACTGGACATCTCCACTTGTAAATCTCAAAGACATCTCAAAAGCAATCTTTCCCAAAGAACATTAGCTCTCCTCTCCCAAACCTGGTCCTCAGCCACTGCCTCCTCTCTCAATGAAAGGCATCACCAGTATTCAATGCCACAAGCCAGAAGCTAAGGAAGCAATATCATCTTCTTCCTCTTCCTCCCTCCCCATTTCCAAAGCACCACAGGTCCTGTCCTTGCTTCTTCTCAAATTTATCCATTTATGTCCATCTCTACCATCATGACTCTAGTCCAAACAACATCATCCCTCACCTGGACTTCTGCAGTAACCTCCTAGCTGGCTTCACTGCATCTCTTGCCTCTTGAATCCATTTTCCAAGTCAAAACAAGAATGATATTTTCAAATGTCAAATCTGATTATATTGCTCCCTACTTAAAATGATTCCATGGTTCCCCATCACTCTTGGGATGAAAGTCAAATGTGTTGAACATGGATTGCAAGGCCCAGCATGGTCTGGCTCAAGCAATCTTGAACTGCCTGGACCAGGTCGGTTTTCTAAAACGCATGCACACAGACAGAAGGGCAATAGAGCCAGTGGTTAAGTTCACAGCCACTGAAGTGAGACTGCCTGGAATCAAATCCTATCTCCATCACATGTTAGCTATGTGACTTGGGCAATTTTCTTCACTTCCTGAGTGTTAGCTTCTGATGTATAAGATGATGATAATTATAATCCCTTCCCCATAGAGTTGTTGAGGCTTATATGACATAATATCTATACAACATGTATCATGGTGCCTGGTATATAGTAAGCATTCAATAAATGTTAGTTATTTTTTATTCGTAGCCCTCGCGTAAGTTTTTAATTGTATATGTGTGTGTGTAATTGCTTGATTAATGTCTGTCTCTCATGTTAGACTGTAAGTTCTATGAAAACCAGGTTTATTTTTGCTTGTAATTGTATATGCAAGATCTACCCCAGTCTTGGTATGGTGGGAACTCAATACATATCTATTAAATAAAATAATAGGGGTTGGCCCAGTGGCACAAGCGGTTAAGTGCGCGTGCTCCACTGCAGTGGCCCAGGGTTTGCTGGTTCGGATCCCGGGCGCGCACTGATGCACCACTTGTCAAGCCATGCTGTGGTGGCATCCCATATAAAGCAGAGGAAGATGGGCACGGATGTTAGCCCAGGGTCAGTCTTCCTCAGCAAAAAGAGGAGGATTGGCAGATGTTAGCTCAGGGCTGATCTTCCTCCAATAAATAAATAAATAAATAAATAAATAAATAAATAAAATAATAAATGAGTGGCATTACCATACATCATCTTTATCTAATGCCCTATAAATAAAATGCATGGCTTGGAAGCTTCTGGATTTCTATATAAAGAGGCTGAGGGTCAGGAGTTGTGGGAGAGTTGATGGGTAGTGGACTTGTCTTGAAGCTTCAGCTGAGATCACTCATTTTGCTTTGATTATATGACACAAATAAATACAAATAGCAATTTTTTCCAGAGATTCTTGTATTCACAATTTACTTAATCTGGTTTCTTTTTGCTTATTATTGTTGGAAGTTGTTGACAGCTATTATTGAAAGGAAGGGCTAGAGTCCCCAAACAAATCTTTGGTGCCCCACTCAAGATGAGAAATATCATTTGGGCTCCAAAATAAACTCTGACTGTAAAGTAGAAAGTGATTTGGGGGTGGGTGCTCTGGAAATAGAATAAAGGCATCCAGCAATGCTTATGTTGAAAAACTGCTGAACATCAGTTATTCACATACTCCTGGCTGACCTTGATGCTGTATGCATGCAAAGAAGAGGGGCAAAGGGCCCAGCAAAAAATAAACACCGAGGCAGACAAAAAAACGCCTAAACCTTGAACGTATTTCCTATCCACCCACAAATGCAATGGCAGAGAACAGAAGACTTACTGATGCTTAAGCATAACCTCTGTTGAATCATTTGCTGACCTCTAAGCTAAGCAAATATAGAGATGACCCTTAGCAGCCAGGCTTAAAAATAAAAACAAGAAAAAACAAAGAGCAGAAACTTTACTGGCCATGCCTATAGGGAAGACAGATTTCACAGATGTAGCCCAGGAAAGTTACTGAACAAAAAGCAAATGAACAAACAAAACCAAACTTGGATGAGAGAGGAATCCAAATCCAGAATTACTACAATATGTTCTCAATAATGTCCAGTTTTCAACAACAACACCAGAAAAGTGAGACATGCAAAGAAACAGGAACGTGTGATCCATACTCAGGAAAAAAAGCAGTTGATAGAAACTATCTCTAAGTGTCTCTAGATGTAGAATTTATCAGAAAAAGACTTCAAAGCAGCTAGTATAAATATGTTCAAACAACTAAAAGAAACTATGTTTAAATAATTAAAGGAAAGTAGAACAAAATGATTCAACAAAAAGAGAATCTCAATAAGGAAATAGAAATTATAAAAAAAGAACCAAGTTGGAAGTTTGGGCATTGAAAAATACAATAAATGAAATAAAACATTCACTAGAGGGGCTTGACAACAGATTCAAGATGGCAAAAGAAATAATTAGTGAACTTAAAGGTAGAGCAATAGAATTATCCTATCTGAAAAAGGGAGAAAAATATTGAAGAAAATAAATAGAACCTCCGAGACCTGTGGGACAACATCAAGTGTAT